GGCTGCATGACCACAGAAACGTCTCCGGACAGCACTGGCTCTTCGGCTTGGAAACGGAGATGAGCACTGCCCCCTAGAGTCGGATTTGACTAGCTTTTGAGCAAGGGAAACCTTTACCTTTTTATGCTTTGGCTTAATACCAGAGGGCAGCCACATTAGTGTGTTACAGCAAAACAAAAATGAGTCTTGTGCCATTTGAAAGACTTAAATAAGCTTCTGTGGACTGCAGCCCGCTTCAGCAGAGGGATGAAGCCTGTCCACAGTCAGCAGATGTGTATACATAGGCAGAAAGAGAAAAATACAGTGACAAGCATTGGGGGAGGGGATTTAAATTGTCTGATGTTTGAAATGTTCACCACCTTGGGAACCCTGAACTGGGTAGAAAGGCAACATAGGCCTATTTTCAATAATAAGTTACAGTAATAGGTGATATTGCAGTTTCCCTAGATGACTGCCTGACGTCTGAATGGAAAACATTGCTGCAGTTGATTCTTGTTTGGATAATACCATACTTCTGATTAAGTGATTCCCCCCCCAGTCTTTTCTTTAATGTTGGTTTATTAGCATTCAACTAATTCCATTCACTTACAATTAAGAAGAAGAGGAGACTGGATTTATACCCCGCCCTTCACTACCCAGAGGAGTCTCAGAGTGTCTTACAATCCTTTTCCCTTCCCCACAACAGACATCCTGTGAGGTAGGTGGAGCTGAGAGAGCTCTAACAGAAACTGCTCTTTTTCAAGAACGGCTCTAGGGTTGTGGCCTAATATGCTAATGAGTTTCTGCTGTTGGGTGTGGCCTATTATGCTAATGAGTTCCTGCTGGGCTTTTTCTACAAAAAGAGCCCTGCCTAGATGAATGCCTGAAGTCTGAATGTAAAACTTTGCTGCAGTTGATTCTTGCTTGGATAATACCAAACTTCTGATTAAGTGATTCCTCACAGGGACCCAGTTCAGTGAGAGGGAAATCCCACGCCGAGCCACAGCTGTCTAAAACCACCAAGATCAACGAGCTTTGCCTAGAGCAGCTCTGTACAGGGTTGCACTGTTAGCATCCTGGGTTTTTATAAACAGAGGAATTAGGTCAATGGTGCAAGGAACAGCTGGTTCTCGTCAAGTGGATTGGAGTGGCATTCACGTGGCCCCTTGCTGGCAGCTTTCCCCTGATATAGTGAGCGGCCCTGACCTGGATAGTCTCATCAGATCTCAGAAGCGAAGCAGGGTCAGTATTTGGATGGGAGACCACCGAGGAAGACGAGGCAGAGGCGGGCAAATGGCAAAGCCACCTCTGCTAGTTTCTTGCCTTGAAAACTCCACTTGGGGTCACTGTACGTCAGCTGTGGCTCGATGGCAAAAAGAAAAGAGAGTGTCTACACACTAGCCTCTGAAGATGTGCACAAGTTCATTCAAGTACTTAACGCACACGGCGCTGTGAGGTCCTGCGGCAGCGTGGCTGATGTGGATAAGGGGCATGTGGGCAAAGTTGCCACAAAGTCGCAGCCAACTGACGGCAACCTGGTAGGGTTTTTCAAGGGAAAAGACTAGCAGAGGGGGTTTAGCCATGGCCTGCCTCGCAGAGCAACCCTGGACTTCCTTGGCGGTCTCCCATCCGAGGATTAACTGGGGCCGACCCTGCTTGGCTTCCGAGACCTAGCTAGCCTGGGCCAGCCAGATTTCTTTCAGTAGTTTAAACCTCTGAACTCCCCACAGTATTAAAGAAATGCCTGTTAAGAAAACAGTGTTAAGGAAGCTGAGGAAATGCTACTGGTTAGAGAGCCAGTTTGGTGTAATGGTTAAGTACACGGACTCTAATCTGGGAGAACCGGGTTTGATTCCCCACTCCTCCACTTGTACCTGCTGATGTGACCTTGGGTCAGTCACAAGCTCTGGCACAGCTATCCTTGAAAAAGAGCAGTTTGTGTCAGAGCTCTCTCAGCCCCACCCACCTCACAGGGTGCCTGTTGTGGGGAGGGGAAGGGAAAGGAGTTTGTAAGCCGCTCTGAGACTCCTTTGGGTTGTGAAGGGC